AGTCTAGTAGTCTATCTATAGTCCTAGTCTATAGTCTAGTCTATAGTCTAGTCTATAGTCTAGTCTATAGTCTAGTCTATAGTCTAGTCCTATAGTCCTAGTCTATAGTCTAGTCTATAGTCTAGTCTATAGTCCTAGTCTATAGTCTAGTCTCTAGTCTAGTCTATAAGTCTAGTCTATAGTCTAGTCCTATAGTCTAGTCTATAGTCTAGTCTATAGTCTAGTCTATAGTCTAGTCTATAGTCCTAGTCTATAGTCCTAGTCTATAGTCTAGTCTATAGTCTAGTCTATAGTCTAGTTCTATAGTCTGTCTATAGTCTAGTCTATAGTCCTAGTCTATAGTCTAGTCCTATAGTCTAGTCTATAGTCTAGTCTATAGTCTAGTCTATAGTCTAGTCTATAGTCTAGTCTATAGTCTAGTCTATAGTCTAGTCTATAGTCTAGTCTATAGTCTAGTCTATAGTCTAGTCTATAGTCTAGTCTATAGTCTAGTCTATAGTCTAGTCTATAGTCTAGTCTATAGTCTAGTCTATAGTCTAGTCTATAGTCTAGTCTATAGTCTAGTCTATAGTCTAGTCTATAGTCTAGTCTATAGTCTAGTCTATAGTCTAGTCTATAGTCTAGTCTATAGTCTAGTCTATAGTCTAGTCTATAGTCTAGTCTATAGTCTAGTCTATAGTCTAGTCTATAGTCTAGTCTATAGTCTAGTCTATAGTCTAGTCTATAGTCTAGTCTATAGTCTAGTCTATAGTCTAGTCTATAGTCTAGTCTATAGTCTAGTCTATAGTCTAGTCTATAGTCTAGTCTATAGTCTAGTCTATAGTATAGTCTAGTATTGTCTAGTCTATAGTCTAGTCTATAGTCTAGTCTATAGTCTATAGTCTAGTCTATAGTCTAGTCTATAGTCTAGTCTATAGTCTAGTCTAGTCTAGTCTATAGTCTAGTCTATAGTCTAGTCTATAGTCTAGTCTATAGTCTAGTCTATAGTCTAGTCTATAGTCTAGTCTATAGTCTAGTCTATAGTCTAGTCTATAGTCTAGTCTATAGTCTAGTCTATAGTCTAGTCTATAGTCTAGTCTATAGTCTAGTCTATAGTCTAGTCTATAGTCTAGTCTATAGTCTAGTCTATAGTCTAGTCTATAGTCTAGTCTATAGTCTAGTCTATAGTCTAGTCTATAGTCTAGTCTATAGTCTAGTCTATAGTCTAGTCTATAGTCTAGTCTATAGTCTAGTCTATAGTCTAGTCTATAGTCTAGTCTATAGTCTAGTCTATAGTCTAGTCTATAGTCTAGTCTATAGTCTAGTCTATAGTCTAGTCTATAGTCTAGTCTATAGTCTAGTCTATAGTCTAGTCTATAGTCTAGTCTATAGTCTAGTCTCTAGTCTAGTCTATAGTCTAGTCTATAGTCTAGTCTATAGTCTAGTCTATAGTCTAGTCTATAGTCTAGTCTATAGTCTAGTCTATAGTCTAGTCTATAGTCTAGTCTATAGTCTAGTAGTCTATAGTCTAGTCTATAGTCTAGTCTATAGTCTAGTCTATAGTCTAGTCTATAGTCTAGTCTATAGTCTAGTCTATAGTCTAGTCTATAGTCTAGTCTATAGTCTAGTCTATCGTCTAGTCTATAGTCTAGTCTATAGTCTAGTCTATAGTCTAGTCTATAGTCTAGTCTATAGTCTAGTCTATAGTCTAGTCTATAGTCTAGTCTATAGTCTAGTCTATAGTCTAGTCTATAGTCTAGTCTATAGTCTAGTCTATAGTCTAGTCTATAGTCTAGTCTATAGTCTAGTCTATAGTCTAGTCTATAGTCTAGTCTATAGTCTAGTCTATAGTCTAGTCTATAGTCTAGTCTATAGTCTAGTCTATAGTCTAGTCTATAGTCTAGTCTATAGTCTAGTCTATAGTCTAGTCTATAGTCTAGTCTATAGTCTAGTCTATAGTCTAGTCTATAGTCTAGTCTATAGTCTAGTCTATAGTCTAGTCTATAGTCTAGTCTATAGTCTAGTCTATAGTCTAGTCTATAGTCTAGTCTATAGTCTAGTCTATAGTCTAGTCTATAGTCTAGTCTATAGTCTAGTCTATAGTCTAGTCTATAGTCTAGTCTATAGTCTAGTCTATAGTCTAGTCTATAGTCTAGTCTATAGTCTAGTCTATAGTCTAGTCTATAGTCTAGTCTATAGTCTAGTCTATAGTCTAGTCTATAGTCTAGTCTATAGTCTAGTCTATAGTCTAGTCTATAGTCTAGTCTATAGTCTAGTCTATAGTCTAGTCTATAGTCTAGTCTATAGTCTAGTCTATAGTCTAGTCTATAGTCTAGTCTATAGTCTAGTCTATAGTCTAGTCTATAGTCTAGTCTATAGTCTAGTCTATAGTCTAGTCTATAGTCTAGTCTATAGTCTAGTCTATAGTCTAGTCTATAGTCTAGTCTAGTCTAGTCTATAGTCTAGTCTATAGTCTAGTCTATAGTCTAGTCTATAGTCTAGTCTATAGTCTAGTCTATAGTCTAGTCTATAGTCTATCTATAGTCTAGTCTATAGTCTAGTCTAGTCTAGTCTATAGTCTAGTCTATAGTCTAGTCTATAGTCTAGTCTATAGTCTAGTCTATAGTCTAGTCTATAGTCTAGTCTATAGTCTAGTCTATAGTCTAGTCTATAGTCTAGTCTATAGTCTAGTCTATAGTCTAGTCTATAGTCTAGTCTATAGTCTAGTCTATAGTCTAGTCTATAGTCTAGTCTGTAGTCTAGTCTATAGTCTAGTCTATAGTCTAGTCTATAGTCTAGTCTATAGTCTAGTCTATAGTCTAGTCTATAGTCTAGTCTATAGTCTAGTCTATAGTCTAGTCTATAGTCTAGTCTATAGTCTAGTCTATAGTCTAGTCTATAGTCTAGTCTATAGTCTAGTCTATAGTCTAGTCTATAGTCTAGTCTATAGTCTAGTCTGATAGTCTAAGTCTATAGTCTAGTCTATAGTCTAGTCTATAGTCTAGTCTATAGTCTAGTCTATAGTTCCTAGTCTATAGTCTAGTCTATAGTCTAGTCTATAGTCTAGTCTATAGTCTAGTCTATAGTCTAGTCTATAGTCTAGTCTATAGTCTAGTCTATAGTCTAGTCTATAGTCTAGTCTATAGTCTAGTCTATAGTCTAGTCTATAGTCTAGTCTATAGTCTAGTCTATAGTCAGTCTATAGTCTAGTCTATAGTCTAGTCTATAGTCTAGTCTATAGTCTAGTCTATAGTCTAGTCTATAGTCTAGTCTATAGTCTAGTCTATAGTCTAGTCTATAGTCTAGTCTATAGTCTAGTCTATAGTCTAGTCTATAGTCTAGTCTATAGTCTAGTCTATAGTCTAGTCTATAGTCTAGTCTATAGTCTAGTCTATAGTCTAGTCTATAGGTCCCTAGTCTATAGTCTAGTCTATAGTCTAGTCTATAGTCTAGTCTATAGTCTAGTCTATAGTCTAGTCTATAGTCTAGTCTATAGTCTAGTCTATAAGTCTAGTCTATAGTCTATTCTATAGTCTAGTCTATAGTCTAGTCTATAGTCTAGTCTATAGTCTAGTCTATAGTCTAGTCTATGTCTAGTCTATAGTCTAGTCTATAGTCTTAGTCTATTAGTCTAGTCTAAAGTCTAGTCTATAGTCTAGTCTATAGTCTAGTCTATAGTCTAGTCTATAGTCTAGTCTATAGTCTAGTCTATAGTCTAGTCTATAGTCTAGTCTTATAGTCTAGTCTACTAGTCTAGTCTATAGTCTAGTCTATAGTCTAGTCTATAGTCTAGTCTATAGTCTAGTCTATAGTCTAGTCTATAGTCTAGTCTATAGTCTAGTCTATAGTCTAGTCTATAGTCTAGTCATAGTCTAGTCTATAGTCTAGTCTATAGTCTAGTCTATAGTCTAGTCTATAGTCTAGTCTATAGTCTAGTCTATAGTCTAGTCTATAGTCTAGTCTATAGTCTAGTCTATAGTCTAGTCTATAGTCTAGTCTATAGTCTAGTCTATAGTCTAGTCTATAGTCTAGTCGACAGTCTAGTCTTTAGTCTAGTCTATAGTCTAGGCTTTAGTCAGTTTATAGTCTAGTCTATAGTCTGGTCTATAGTCTAGGTCTATAGTCTAGTCTATAGTCTAGTCTATAGTCTAGTCTATAGTCTAGTCTATAGTCTAGTCTATTGTCTAGTCTATAGTCTAGTCTATAGTCTAGTCTATAGTCTAGTCTATAGCCTAGTCGATAGTCTAGTCTATAGTCTAGTCGATAGTCTAGTCTATAGTCTAGTCTATAGTCTAGTCTATAGTCTAGTCTATAGTCTAGTCTATAGTCTAGTCTTTAGTCTAGTCTATAGTCTAGTCTTTAGTCTAGTCTATAGTCTAGTCTATAGTCTAGTCTATAGTCTAGTCTATAGTCTAGTCTAGTCTATAGTCTAGTCTATAGTCTAGTCTATAGTCTAGTCTATAGTCTAGTCTATAGTCTAGTCTATAGTCTAGTCTATAGTCTAGTCGATAGTCTAGTCTATAGTCTAGTCTTTAGTCTAGTCTATAGTTTGGTCTAGTTCATTGCCTTGGTGCTTAAAAAATATAAAAAAATTTGAAAATGAACTTAAAAGATGCTGGCTACTTGAAACGAAACTTTTTGCTAAATTAAACAATAACAATTTTAAAGTAATTCATATTAAATATATAGACTATACTAAGATAATACTTAAATATTGAATAGTATATAGTTTTTGTATGGTGTGTTATGATTTGGTGTTAACGCAAAGAACAAAGTGCTATTAAAAGGTTAAAAATTGAGAAAATAAAAAAATATTTGGCTTAAAGAAAAAAAAAACATAAGATAACTTAAAAAATTGTTTATAAAGCATTTGAAAAAGGTAGAGTTAAGAAAAAAATGTAAAATAAACAAAACAAAAAAAAAAAAAAAACGTATTTAGGTAAGAGAAAAACAAAAACACAAAGTAAAGGTAATAAAAAAATATATGTTTTGTTTTTTTTTTTTTTAGAAATTTGGCATACCGCAGCAGCTGCAGCAACAGCGGTGGCGCGTGATTGCGCCGCTTTTAATTGTGCCTGTAGGTGCAAGGGAGGATGAAAATAGCGGCAGGGATCACGTGTGCATCTACCTTTTACGGCGTCCATGCACACCGTAATGGAACCATCATCGTGTCGGGCAACACTCTCCTGCGGATGTGCAAAACGGCATTCAGATTCGGCACGTTTGCAAGCACCGCGCAAAAATTCACGACAAACCTATTGTTTTTTTTAGGTTGATTTTTTGATATTTTTTTTTTAAATTTTGTAGCATATTTTTTAGCAGCAACAGCAGTGTTTTATTTTGATATTTATTTTTTTTTGTTGTTTGTAGTTGTAGGTGTAATATTTTTATTTTGTAGCACATGGTGTTTTTTTATTATTTTTGAATTTATTTTTTATTTTTGTTTGGTGGTTTTCACATGGACGCAGGATAACAAATGGAACAAGGTAATTCAAGTAAACAATGTTTTGGTTTGTTTTTTTTTTAATAGAAAAAATAAAAAAGAAAATTTTGTTTTAAAATTTTTGTATTTTTTTGTTGTTGTTAAAGGATTTTGTTTTTAATTGTTGTAGACAACATTGGTTAATTATTTGTTTGCTTTTTTTATAACTGGCAAAATATTTAGCTTTTTTAGTTTGCAAAACTTTTGCATGCCAAATTTTGTTAGATTTTTTGCTAAGCTTTTTTTTCGCTAGCTTTTTTTGGTTTTTAATTTGAGAGCATTCGATTAGTGCTTTTGGAACATAAACAAATTTAACAAACAAAAAACATTAATTAACAATTTTTTAAAGAAGTTTTTTTTATTTTAATAAAATACAACAACTTTTTTTAGTAAAAAAACGTTTGGGGTTAATTATTTAGCTAAAATTTATCACATAAATATTTAAAACCTTTTTGGGGGGGCAACCAATTGGTTAAATAAGGGAGTCAAACTTTTAATTGGCTTAACGTGGCTTAAAATTTATTATAAACTAAAACTTTCGTTTTAGAAAAAATTCTATATGAAAGCTTTTCTGAAAAGCTTTTTGTATTTTTAAGGATTTTTAGTTCTTAAGGCTGCTAGAAGATTCAATAAAAAAGAGCTTTATTAAAAGCTTTTTAAACTTTTCGTAGAAATAAAAGCTTTTCTGAAAAGCTTTTTGTTTTCAATTCAAAATAGATTCAATATAGGAGAGCTTTATTAAAAGCTCTTTAAGCTTTTTTTAGAAACAACAAGGAAACTTATCGTTTTAAAAAAATGTCTATATAAAAGCTTTTTGTATTTTCAAGCAATTTTAGTTTTTTAAGGCTGGTATAAGATTCAATAAAAGGGAGGTTTTTTTAAAGCTTTGTAAGGTTTTCGTAGAAACGACACTATGAAGTCTATAAGTAAGCTTTTAATAAAAGCTTTTTGTAAATTTGTTCTAAGTATTGATGTTTTAAAGCTGTTGTATTATTATCCTTTGTTTAATAAAGAACACTTTTGTTGAAAGCTTTTTAAGCTTTTTTTCGTTCGGGAAACTTTCAGTTTTAAGAACAGCAAATTGAAAGCTTGTTGAAAGAAAGAATTTCAGTTTGTTTTAACATACTTTTATAAAAAACTTTCTGAAGAAACAATCATAAAGGCTTTAAAGCTCTTTGCTAATTTTGTGTTGTCAGTCTTTAGTTTTTCTAAGGGCTTTTTGATTCCATAAAAGGGAGCTTTATTAAAAGAAATAAGACTATTAAAGCTATAAGAAAGCTTTATATAAAAGCTTTTTATACATTTTTCTCTAAAGTGACCTTTTGTTATTTCAAGGATTTGTAGTTTTTAAGGGCTTTTTTATGGAATCAAAAATTCCATAAAAAGAGCTTTATTAACAGCTCTTTAAACTTTTTGGCTATAAGAAACCTTTATATAAAAGCTTTTTTAAAGGATTTTTAAAAGCTTTTTGATTCCATAAAAGAGAGCTTTATTAAAAGCTTTTTGCATAAACAATACTATTAAGGCTATAGAAAAGCTTTATATAAAAGCTTTTTGTACATTTTTTACACAAAGTGAAACATATTCATTGTTGCGGTTTTGAAACTATTGCTTTCACGTTTATTGGAGTCTATTTACGCTTTTTCGTACGTGTAAGCTTTCAGTTTACAAAAAAACAGCAAATTGAAAGCTTTGAATGAGAATTTCAGCTGGCTTTAACTTGATTTTATAAAAGAAAGCTTTTAAAAATCTATTTAAACTTTTTGCCGAATCAACCCTAAATAAAAGCTTTGAAAATAAGCTTTTTTCTGATTTGTTTTTAATTATAGTTTTTAAGGGCTTTTTGATTCCATTAAAGATAGCTTTATTAAAAGCTCTTAAAACGTTTGGTAGAAAAAATGTTATAAAGGCAAAGCTTTTTGTAAACTTTTGGCTTTACTGAATTATATTAATTGTATTTTCTTTTATTGAAAGCTTTTTAAACTTTTTTCATTCGGGAAAGCTTTCAGTTTAATAAACAGAATATTGTAAGCTTTAAATGTATTTTCAAGGAATAACAGTTTTCTTTGGTTTGCTTTTATAAAAGGGAGCTTTTAAAAAGCTTTTCAAACATTTTGAAGAAACAACGGTAAACAAGAGCTTTGTATAAAAGCTTTTTGCTAAATTTTGTTTTAATTGTATCGCCTTTAATTTTGTTTTTCTGCAAAACTTGTTAAGCTTTCGAATGTTATTACTCAGAAAGCTATAAAAGAAAGTTGTTTATAAAAGCTTTTTGTATTATTTTCCCAAAAAGACGCTATTGTAAAGACAATCTACTAAATGTTTTCCTTGTTTTAATGAAGAAGAACTTAATTGAAAGTATTTAAGCTTTTTAGTAATATAATTAAACAAGGATGAGCTTTATTGAAAGCTTTTTAAGCTTTTTGGTAACATGATTTATTAAAAGATTTTAAAGATTTGGGATCAACTTTTTGGTATTTGAAATAAAAAATATTCAAAACTTCTGATATAAGGAATAATCCACAAAAGCTTTTAAAGCTTTTAAATCAAAACCTCTAGATAATTTTCAAATTTGGAAATATTTTAGATTTATGTTTTTTTTAATTTTTTTGTAACAATTTAAACTCATTTTCTTTTTTATTTTCAAGATTTTTTTTTGTTTTTAGCAAAAGCTTTGCAAAGGTTTTTAAATAAAACGGAAAAAAATAATTTAATTAAACAAAATATTTCAACTAAAAGAAATGAGTTTTTCACAAGCAGCTGGGTAATGAAAAGAAAAACTGAAATAATTAAAAAAACAAAGAAAAGACAAATTCCAATTGGTTTTTTTAATTAAAAAACAAGTTATAAACCCTTATTTTGTTAACAAAAATACGAATGTGTGATTTTTTCTAGTTTTTTTTTTAATAATTAAAAAAAAGTTAAATAAAATAAAAAATAAAATAAACACAATAATAACTACAATAAATTATAAATAAAAAAATATTTATAAAATTTTTTCACTTAAATTTCTTTGTATAAAAGCTTAACACTTGGTTAATTTGAAAAAAAATAATACATTTTTTAACAGATATTTTCAAACTTAAAACATTTTATATACAATATTAAAAATTTCTTTTTTTTTAATAAATTAAAATTATTTAAATAACAAAACAATAACAGAAAAAACTTATATAAAAAACATGCTTTTTTATATAGTTAAATTTAGTTAATTATTATTATTATTTTTTTTTTGTAATAATATTTTACAAAAAAATTTTAATTATTATAAAAAATTATTTGAAATTAAAAATCAACAAAACTCAAACATTAATTAGTAGTTATATAAAGTCAAAGTTAAATAGTAAAAGTTTGAGAAAAAACATGCTTTTGACAAAAAACTCACCTCTAATCGATCGGAACGTGGTATTTTTTGTTGAGCCACTTGTACCGCTTGCGGTACAACTGGTCCCAATTGTGAGACAGCTGTAGGATCAGGACCCAATAAGGCAGGCACTAAATGACCAGGTGCAAAATATGGACTGTATGTGTTAGCAGGTATGCCAGTTAAATAAGGATTTGTGGCCTAGAAAATAAAAACAGAAAATCGAAATTTAATTATTAATAAAAAGAAAATAATCATAACCCTAGACCAGTAACGCCCGCTTAATAATAAGAACCTTTTTCTAACGTTATACAACTGTACAACAAACCAGAAAAAATACTCTGATCTAGTTCTGTTCTAGTTCTGTTCTAGTTCTGTTCTAGTTCTGTTCTAGTTCTGTTCTAGTTCTGTTCTAGTTCTGTTCTAGTTCTGTTCTAGTTCTGTTCTAGTTCTATTCTAGTTCTGTTCTAGTTCTGTTCTAGTTCTGTTCTAGTTCTAGTTCTAGTTCTGTTCTAGTTCTGTTTTAGTTCTGTTCTAGTTCTGTTCTAGTTCTGTTCTAGTTCTGTTCTAGTTCTGTTCTAGTTCTGTTCTAGTTCTGTTCTAGTTCTGTTCTAGTTCTGTTCTAGTTCTATTCTAGTTCTATTCTAGTTCTGTTCTAATTTTGTTCTAGTTCTGTTCTAGTTCTGTTCTAGTTCTGTTCTAGTTCTGTTCTAGTTCTGTTTTAGTTCTGTTCTAGTTCTGTTCCAGTTCTTTTCCAGTTCTTTTCTAGTTCTGTTTTAGTTCTGTTCTAGTTCTGTCTAGTTCTAGTTATCTGTTTCTAGTTCTGTCTAGTTCTGTGTTCTAGTTCTGTTCTAGTTCTGTTTCTAGTTCTGTTTCTAGGTTCTGTCTAGTTCTGTTCTAGGTCTGTTCAGTTCTGTTCTAGTTTCTAGTTTCTAGTTCTGTTCTAGTTCTGTTCTAGTTCTGTTCTAGTTCTGGTTCTAGTTCTGGTTCGAGTTCTGTTTCAGTTCTGGTCTAGTTCTGGTTCTAGTTCTGTTCTAGTTCTGTTCTAGTTCTGTTCTAGTTCTGTTCGAGTTCGTTCTAGTTAGTTCTAGTGCGTTCTAGTTCTGTTCTAGTTCTAGTTCTAGTTCCTAGTTCTGTTCTAGTTCTGTTCTAGCTCTGTTCTAGTTCTAGTTCTAGTTCTGTTCTAGTTCTGTTGTCTAGCTCTGTTAGTTGCTAGTTCTGTTCTAGTTCTGTTCTAGTTCTGTTCTAGCTCTGTTCGGTTCTAGGTTTCTGTTCTGTTCTAGTTGCTGGTTCTAGTTCTGTGCTAGTTCTGTTCTAGTTCTGTTCTAGTTCTGTTCTAGTTCTGTTCTAGTTCTGTTCTAGTTCTGTTCTAGTTCTGTTCTAGTTCTGTTCTAGTTCTGTTCTAGTTCTGTTCTAGTTCTGTTCTAGTTCTGTTCTAGTCTGTTCTAGTTCTGTTCTAGTTCTGTTCTAGTTCTGTTCTAGTTCTGTTCTAGTTCTGTTCTAGTTCTGTTCTAGTTCTGTTCTAGTTCTGTTCTAGTTCTGTTCTAGTTCTGTTCTAGTTCTGTTCTAGTTCTGTTCTAGTTCTGTTCTAGTTCTGTTCTAGTTCTGTTCTAGTTCTGTTCTAGTTCTGTTCTAGTTCTGTTCTAGTTCTGTTCTAGTTCTGTTCTAGTTCTGTTCTAGTTCTGTTCTAGTTCTGTTCTAGTTCTGTTCTAGTTCTGTTCTAGTTCTGTTCTAGTTCTGTTCTAGTTCTGTTCTAGTTCTGTTCTAGTTCTGTTCTAGTTCTGGTCTAGTTCTGTTCTAGTTCTTTTCTAGTTCTGTTCTAGTTCTGGTCTAGTTCTGTTCTAGTTCTGTTCTAGTTCTGTTCTAGTTCTGTTCTAGTTCTGTTCTAGTTCTGTTCTAGTTCTGTTCTAGTTCTGTTCTAGTTCTGTTCTAGTTCTGTTCTAGTTCTGTTCTAGTTCTGTTCTAGTTCTGTTCTAGTTCTGTTCTAGTTCTGTTCTACTTCTGTTTTAGTTCTGTTTTAGTTCTGTTCTGGTTCTTTCTAGTTCTTTTCTAGTTCTGTTCTAGTTCTGTTCTAGTTCTGTTCTAGTTCTGTTCTAGTTCTGTTCTAGTTCTGTTCTAGTTCTGTTCTAGTTCTGTTCTAGTTCTGTTCTAGTTTGTTCTAGTTCTGTTCTAGTTCTGTTCTAGTTCTTTCTAGTTCTGTTCTAGTTCTGTTCTAGTTCTGTTCTAGTTCTGTTCTAGTTCTGTTCTAGTTCTGTTCTAGTTCTGTTCTAGTTCTGTTCTAGTTCTGTTCTAGTTCTGTTTAGTTCTGTTCTAGTTCTGTTCTAGCTCTGTTCTAGTTCTGTTCTAGTTCTGTTCTAGTTCTGTTCTAGCTCTGTTCTAGTTCTGTTCTAGTTCTGTTCTAGTTCTGTTCTAGTTCTGTTCTAGTTCTTTCTGGTTCTGTCTAGTTCTGTTCTAGTTCTGTTCTAGTTCTGTTCTAGTTCTGTTCTAGTTCTGTTCTAGTTCTGTTCTAGTTCTGTTCTAGTTCTGTTTCTAGTTCTGTTCTAGTTTCTGTTCTAGTTCTGTTCTAGTTCTGTTCTAGTTCTGGTCTAGTTCTGTTCTAGTTCTTTTCTAGTTCTGTTCTAGTTCTGGTCTAGTTCTGTTCTAGTTCTGTTCTAGTTCTGTTCTAGTTCTGTTCTAGTTCTGTTCTAGTTCTGTTCTAGTTCTGTTCTAGTTCTGTTCTAGTTCTGTTCTAGTTCTGTTCTAGTTCTGTTCTAGTTCTGTTCTAGTTCTGTTCTAGTTCTGTTCTAGTTCTGTTCTAGTTCTGTTCTAGTTCTGTTCTACTTCTGTTTTAGTTCTGTTTTAGTTCTGTTCTGGTTCTGTTCTAGTTCTTTCTAGTTCTGTTCTAGTTCTGTTCTAGTTCTGTTCTAGTTCTGTTCTAGTTCTGTTCTAGTTCTGTTCTAGTTCTGTTCTAGTTCTGTTCTAGTTCTGTTCTAGTCCTGTTCTAGTTCTGTTTTAGTTCTGTTCTAGTTCTGTTCTAATTCTGTTCTAGTTCTGTTCTAGTTCTGTTCTAGTCCTGTTTTAGTTCTGTTCTAGTTCTGTTCTAGTTGTCTTCTAGTTCTGTTCTAATTCTGTTCTAGTTCTGTGTGTGAGTTCCATAAATCATTATTTTATTTCTCACATATTGTTGCTGTTGCAAATCTTACTCTCTCTCTCGCCTTGGCAGGTGTTAACAAAAGGCGTTAAGTTAACAGCCTCAGTTAACAATATTATTATTGTTATTGTTTTACTTTATTATTGTTTTTCATTATTATTACTATTTTTTATTATTATGTACTCACATTATTATTATTATTTTGTATTAATATTTTTTCTTTTCGTTTTTTTTCAGTAATTTTATTGAACCGCGGGTGAGTACAATTCTTTTACATTCATCCATTTATTGTATAAATGATGAAAAAAATCGAAAAAAAAAGTATTAAAACCCTGTGCTATTGTTCTTTAATAATATATTAAATATATATTTATATATAACCATAATATATTCCATTTACAAATGTAACATATTTTTGTTTTATATAAGAAATTTCTCGGTAGTTTACACAACTCTTAGCGAGAAATATCAGCAGCAACAACAACTACAACTGCAAAAAGAATTAAATAAAAATATAAAATACTGGTGGTTTTTTGTTCACCTTAATCCAATGACCTTACTTTGTAAATACAGATTTTTTTTCTGTTGTTACACTGTGACATACATACATATGTACTATTTGTATAAAATATTTACTAGACAGTGGGTAGTCAGACTAGGGTCAAGACTGTAGCCAAGTCTGTCTCTATACACTAGACTATAGACTAGACAAAAGACTAGACCAGACTATTGCCAAAGCTATTCCAGACTGTAGCCAATACTATAGTCTATAATATAGCCAATGCTACTGTCCAGACTATAATCCAGTCCAGACTATGGTGTGGACTAAAGTCTGCTCTATGATCTGAAATTCCTTTCTGTATTCTGCACCACTGTTCCTACAACTATTTACCGTGTATATATTTTATTTTAATAATATTTACTTTTTTTTCTGAGTTGTTTTTACTTGTTCTGTTCATATTTTCCACCATGTTTAACCACAACTATTAACCCATATTGTTCCTCTGGAAGAATATATATGAATAAAATATTATAATGCGGATGTTGGGTGTGTTGAATGAATTAATGAATATGAACCAAAAACAACAATAAAAATGAAAACGTGGTTTAGTTTGGCAATGCCAACCAAGCAACAACAATTATACCACCAAAAGGAGTTTTCACTGGTGGCGGCTAAAGGAGAACAGAACAGAAGAAGCATAAAAATTTCGCGCATTTTTAAATAATAATTTTAACATCACAACTCTTCTATACAATATATAAATTACGTGTTTAAATAACATTTTATTTGCCTCTGTGCTATATTTTGATTCAACTTTTTTCATTCTTTTTTTTGTTGGCTAGTGTTTTTTCTATGGTTCCATTCTGTAGCTGTATTTATTACAGTTGGCCAAGTGTATGGGGGTATGGTAATAATTCGTGGGTGTGTAAACTGTATTCTATTTTTTTCCCTTGCATCAGAGTAGTAGTTTTACATGCTGCTAAATGTCATCTTTTTTTTAACACTAGTTTTATTTTTTTTGGTCAACAAATTCTCGCTTTTTTCCGGGTTAGCATGATTTTACAAAAAAAAAATAGTTGTGGAAAAAAATTTTACTCTAAAGATGTGATTATTACATTTATCTTATAAATATTCATATTTTTGGGGTTTGCAAGGCAACTTAACACTTTTTCTGTTAGTAGTTACTAGAGATGGTAAATCATCATCATCATCATCATAACCATTACAATGATTTTCCTTAGTGTGTAAACTATGAGAACAGATTTTTTTGACTAAATGTTTTTGACAGAGAACCGGAAAGTGAGGAAAAGGTCTGTCTCATGGTGGTTAGATTGCATAAATTGTAGATATTTTACTAAAAGAAAGCTGTCACTGATAAAAAAGAATATTTAAGGAAAAAACTAATTGTAGTTAGAATAGTTTCTAATCCAGTCCAAAGTGTAGTATAAAGTCTAGTCTATAGTCTAGTCTAGAGTCTAGTCTATAGTCTAGCCTATAGTCCAGTCTAGAGTCTAGTCTAGTCTATAGTCTAGTCTATAGTCTAGTCTATAGTCTAGTCTATAGTCTAGTCTATAGTCTAGTCTATAGTCTAGTCTATAGTCTAGTCTATAGTCTAGTCTATAGTCTAGTCTATAGTCTAGTCTATAGTCTAGTCTATAGTCTAGTTTATAGTCTAGTCTATAGTCTAGTTTATAGTCTAGTCTATAGTCTAGTCTATAGTCTAGTCTATAGTCTAGTCTATAGTCTAGTCTATAGTCTAGTCTATAGTCTAGTCTATAGTATAGTCTAGTCTATAGTCTAGTCTATAGTCTAGTCTATAGTCTAGTCTATAGTCTAGTCTATAGTCTAGTCTATAGTAGTCTATAGTCTAGTCTAGTCTATAGTCTAGTCTATAGTCTAGTCTATAGTCTAGTCTATAGTCTAGTCTATAGTCTAGTCTATAGTCTAGTCTAGTCTAGTCTATAGTCTAGTCTATAGTCTAGTATATAGTCTATAGTCTAGCCTATAGTCTAGCCTATAGTCTAGTCTATAGTCTAGTCTATAGTCTAGTCTATAGTCTAGTCTATTGTCTAATCTATAGTCTAGTCTATAGTCAAGTCTATAGTCTAGTCTATAGTCTAGTCTATAGTCTAGTCTATAGTCTAGTCTATAGTCTAGTCTATAGTTTAGTCTAGTATAGTCTATAGTCTAGTCTATAGTCTAGTCTATAGTCTGGTTTATAGTCTAGTCTATAGTCTAGTCTATAGTCTAGCCTATAGTCTAGTCTATAGTCTAGTCTATAGTCTAGTCTATAGTCTAGTCTATAGTCTAGTCTATAGTTTAGTCTATAGTCTTGTCTATAGTCTAGTCTATAGTCTAGTCCATAGTCTAGTATATAGTCTATTCTATAGTCTAGTCTATAGTCTAGTCTATAGTCTAGTCTATAGTCTAGTCTATAGTCTAGTCTATAGTCTAGTCTATAGTCTAGTCTATAGTCTAGTCTATAGTCTAGTCTATAGTCTAGTCTATAGTCTAGTCTATAGTCTAGTCTATAGTCTAGTCTATAGTCTAGTCTATAGTCTAGTCTATAGTCTAGTCTATAGTCTAGTCTATAGTCTAGTCTATAGTCTAGTCTATAGTCTAGTCTATAGTCTAGTCTATAGTCTAGTCTATAGTCTAGTCTATAGTCTAGTCTATAGTCTAGTCTATAGTCTAGTCTATAGTCTAGTCTATAGTCTAGTCTATAGTCTAGTCTATAGTCTAGTCTATAGTCTAGTCTATAGTCTAGTCTATAGTTTAGTCTATAGTTTAGTCTATAGTCTAATCTATAGTCTAGTCTATAGTCTAGTCTATAGTCTAATCTATAGTCTAGTCTATAGTCTAGTCTATAGTCTAGTCTATAGTCTAGTCTATAGTCTAGTCTATAGTCTAGTCTATAGTCTAGTCTATAGTCTAGTCTATAGTCTAGTCTATAGTCTAGTCTATAGTCTAGTCTATAGTCTAGCCTATAGTCTAGTCTATAGTCTAGTCTATAGTCTAGTCTATAGTCTAGCCTATAGTCTAGTCTATAGTCTAGTCTATAGTCTAGCCTATAGTCTAGTCTATAGTCTAGTCTATAGTCTAGTCTATAGTTTAGTCTATAGTTTAGTCTATAGTCTGATCTAAAGTTCTGTCCATTGTCTTTATTATATTATATGGTCCATTCTCTAGTCCAGTTTATAGTCCAGCTTATAGTCTAGGCTATGGTCTAGTCTATATTCTTGTCCACAGTCTGGTCTATAGCCACATTCTCTTAAAGTACTATTTAAAATTACAATTTCTTTACTTACCACTTGTGGCACTTGTCCTGGTATAACTGGCTGTCCTGGTGCAATACCCATCTGTTGCATTAGTGCATTTTTCAAGGCAAGATGATTACGGCCATTTATCAACAATTGATCCTTCAAATGTTGTGGAGGATGAAAATATTTGCAAGGCGGTTTATCACGATTACAACGACCCTAAAAGTACACAACAGATAAACAAAATATATTTAGTAAATTTTTCTTAACATTTATCACTCTCTTCTTTGTCTCGCTTATAGAGCAAAATATAGAGAGAGTACATAAGTAAAAGTTCGAAGGTTCTATAAGATAATAATAAACTTGTAAATAACATAAAATATTTGCTAAAATGGAAAAAGAAACTAAGACCATAAATAAATTATCAATGTAGCCAAAAAAAGGACAACAGATAATATTTCTTTTTTTTATTACGTTTCCTTAAGACTTTGTTTTGTCTTTGGCTGATTTTTTTTTTAATTTTGCACAAAAAAATGTTAAGAAATATATATGAGCAACTAAGGAAATATGTCTTTTAAAGCTGCCAGGAGTATAACAAAGAGCAAAAACAAGAAAAAAGAAGGAAATAAATATTATCCTTAAATAACTAAGGAGAATGTACAAAGACTCTGGCATTGTTTTCATTGTTTTGTCTGCTTTGTTTTTTCTTATTTGTTTTTTGTTTATGTATGTGATAATTCCAACTTCATCAAGGACTATGGTGTTTTTTTTCTTCCAAAATTTTTATGAGTGTGTGTAGGGATGTATGCATGTGTGTTTTTTGGTGATGTCATTTGTCTCTTTTGTTACTTTAGTTTTATAAAAATATATTTGGTTTTTGTATTTTTTATTGTATTTAGTGTGAACGTAATATTTTTAGCTCCTGTAGACAACCTTTTTTTTTGCCAGAATAATAGGGAGCTTTTGGGGGTAATTTGGTGTTACGCTGTCACTTTTTAAAATACCCTACATTGGCTTATTCGATTCTAGTTCCTATATTTACCAAATTTATAACTGAAAGTTTTTTTACATATTATTGTTTTTTCGAAGTATCATAATGTTTGTTAAAAGCTCATTATAAAAACCTTTGTTAAAGCTTTAAAAACCTTTGCTAAAGCTTTTCTGAAATTCGTTTATCAGTACTATTCATAAAAGTTTTTGTCTAAGTATTCCTTAAAAGTTTTCAAACGCTTTTCATAAAAGCTATTTTGCTAAGTTTTTCTAAAGAGCTTTTTCGAAAGTTTTTGATAAAGTTTTTTTCAAAACTTTAGTTAATTTTTTTTTAAGTTTTTCTCAAAGCCTTTTCTGAAAACGTTTTCTCAAGACTTTTCTTTAGAGCGGTTTTCAAAGCTTTTTTTATTAGTTCTTATTAAAAGCTTTTCTATCAGTTTTTCTTAAAAACTTTTTTCAAAGCTTTTCTTTAAAGTTTTTTTTAACACAGTTTTACTTAAAAGATTATTTTAGTAAATATATTATTCAAAGCTGTTCTTAAAAGCCTTTATTGAAATTGTTATTAAATGGTTTTATTAAAAGCTCTTGTAAAAAGGTTTTTAAAAGTTTTCGTAAATACTTTTCTTAAAAGCTTTCATTATAAACTTTTCTCAAAAGTTTATGTAGATAGATAGATAGATAGATTAAAGCTTTTCTCAATACATCTTTCAAAGCTTTCTTAAAAGCTCTTGTTAAAAGCATTATTAAAATTTTCTATTGATGACTTTTTAAAAAGCTTTTGTAAATAATTTTCTTAAAAGCTTTCATTATAAACTTTTCTCAAAAGCTTTTGTTAAAAACTTTTCTTAAAAGCTTTTGTAAAAAAACATTTCTTGAATAATAAAAGTTATTTAAAGCTTTTTAAGCTTTTATTTAAAACTTTTCTTAAAAGCTTTCATTATAAACTTTTTGTTTTAAGTTTTCGTTAAAAACTTTTCTTATAAGCTTTATTTATTAAACTTTCTTAAAGCCTTTGTAAAAACATTTGTCAAAACAGGCTTTACAGCTTTTTATAAAAGCTCTATAAAAACTGAAGGCTTTGTTAAAGCATTAATTAAAATTTTTCGTTGTAGGCATTTATAAAAAGCTTTTGTAGACACTTTTCTTAAAAGCTGTCACTAAAAACTTTTCATGAAAGCTTTTCTTAAAATAAAATTCTTTAATGTTTTTCCTAAAACAATTTCTTTCGAAAAACATTTGTTAAACAAGCTTTAAAGCTTTTTGTAAAAGCTCTATAAACATGGAAGATTTTTTATAAGCTTTTGTACAAAACTGACATCTTTGATGCTTTCAGGCTTTATCGCTGAAATACTTAATTGTGTATTTTTAAGCTTTTTAAAAAAGCTTTTTGTTTTTGCTAAAGTTTTCTATTTAAGCTTTACCTAATAAATCTTTATAAAAGTATGGTTGAGGATGTAATGCGTTAAAATTTTCTTTAAAAGCTTTTGGTTTTTGAAAACTTTATAAATAAATCTTTGCAAAATAATAAGTCTGTCTAATTTTTTTTTAATAAAAATAGCGAAAAGCTTTAAAAGTCGTTATTTACTAATGTTTTTGTTCATATTATTCGCGCTTTTCTTTCTTTTGTTTGTTGTACATCCTTTCAGTTTATTTGTTATTTTTCTTATACTTTTGTTATTTGTAGCTTTTAATATTTTATTTCAGTTTCTAGTTTCACAACTACAACTACAACTAAGTTACTAAATAATTGTATACTAGAGAGAGAGAGAGAGTGTGTGTTTGTGCATTTGAAAAAGTTATCCTTTGAGCTTTAAGCACATAAATTATCACTTAATAAATTACATTAGTAAGCGAAATACTACTACTATTACTCTTACAAAATTTCATACTAACACTTTCTATTTAGATTTGAAAATAACCAGGCAGTTTTATAAGGTGACAAAGAACCCCTTTAGGAGAGAATTTCTCCTCAAGATTCCCTACTTTAGTGTTCACAAGTAATACGGGAAGGGACAACTTTAAAGCTTTTCTTCTTTACTGAAGTTTAGCCATCATAAGTAAACTGTTGTTGTTGCTAAAGCTTTACAGGGTATGTGTGAATGTTAGATTGTTGCCAGATTTAGAGATTTAACTTGCTCCCCTCTTGTTATTTTTGCATTATTTTTAAAAAATAACTTAAATTTCAAAAAACATTAAATAGTAATTCTAGGAATTATTTTTCCTAGGGTGTTTAATTTTAAACTTGAGACTGTAGCAGCATAATAATTCATCCAGATACTTAGATTTTACAACAAAACCAAAAAAAAAAAAGTTTTAATTTAACATTCCAAGAAGTTTAGACAATAAAAAAGCAAATTGTTAGAAATCATTAAAGGCAAAAGTAGTTGGGAAATGTTGTTGAGAAAGAAAGAAATTTTTAATTTACATTATTAAATATAAAAAGCTTTAAAAATTTAAATTTTATTTAAACAATTTTTTTAACAACATCTTAAAAGAAATCGCCTTTAGCTGCTGAAACTAATATTGCATTTCTTTTAGCTTTTAAGTATATTTTCTTTTAATTTTTTTTATACTTCTAATAGCAATTTTTCTCGCTTTTTTTCTTAAGTATTAAGCATATAAAAATAGCTATACACTGCTATTTATTTTCATAAGATTAGCAATTTGCACATAGAAAAAAAAACTACTCCACAATGGACATTGCTGTGCAAGTGCAGCTTATAGTAGAGAATGAATAAAAAAAATAACGTATTTTATATTTAAATTCCATACAGATCAAATAAAACATTTTTCAACATTTAACACTTAACTTATCAGCAATAAGTAAAAGTTGCACAAAAAAAAAAAAATGCAACTAAAAATATATTTAATGTTTTCAGTTTTTTTTTTTTTCGCTCACTTCCACCCACCCAGTTGTTTTCTTTAAGAAAAAAAAAATTGCTAAAGAATTGTACAGCAATTTTCTAGTGCAATTTTTCAGTTCTGCTCTTTTTGTGATAAACATTATGCATAAGAAACAAAACTTACGGAGGACAGTTTGTTATTGAGTAGCTGAACATGTTCGGGGAGGAAAAAAAGGTGGCCATTAGCATCTATAAAATAACAATAGTGATATTTTGTAAAAGTTTTAGAACTTAAAAAAGCTTAATCATCTATTCGAGAACAGATTTTTGCAAGCATTTAAAAAAAAAATTTATTAACTTTTGAAAAAGCTTTTTTTAAGCTTTAGAAAAAGCTTTTTTTTTCAGCTTTAGAAAAAGTTTTTAGGAAAACTGCTTATCATACTTGGAAGAAAAGCATTTTATAAGCTTTAGAATAGCCTTTCGTAACATTTTACAAAAGCTTTTTGTAGGATTTTAGCTTAAGAAAGCTTAAGCTTTAGAATAGCTTTTTATAAGCTTTTAGAAAAGCCTTTCGTAACATTTTATAAAAGCTTTTTGTAGGATTTCAGAAACAAATTTGGAAGAAAAGCTTTTTGTAAGCTTTAGAATAGCTTTTTGTAAGTTTATAAGCTTTAAGAAAAGCCTTTCGTAACATTTTTTAAAAGCTTTATGTAGGACTTTAGAAAAACATTTGGTTTGCCTTAATAAAAGCTTTTCGTAGGCTTATGAAAAGCTTTTTGTATGCTGGTAGAAGCACTTCTTGGAAGCTTGTAGAAAAGACATTTACAAGCTTTTAGAAAAGCCTTTATCAGTAAGCTTTTACAAACATTTTAATTAGGAGTATTTTATAAATGCTTGTTGTTGGCTTTTAGAAAAACATTTTTTTTTTCGCTTCAATAAAAGCTTTTCGTAGGCTTTTAGAAAAGTTTTTTGTAGGCTTATAGAAAAGCTTATAGAACCACTTTTTGGAAGCTTGTAAAAAAGCCTTTTTCAAGCTTTTTATAAACTTGTTGAAAAACCTTTTGCAAGCCTTCTATAAGCGTTTAGAAAAGCCTCTTGCAAGCCTTTTATAAGCGTAAGCCTTTAGAAACGTTTTTAGTCGGAGCATATTATAAAAGCCTTTTTCTATAGTTTCTTGTAAACTTTTACAAAGCCGTTTTTAAGCTTTTAAAAAGTATTTTTATAAAATTATTCTATAAATCATCGAAAAAGCTTTCCAAAAGCAATTGTTTAAATATTTCCGTCAGATTTTTATAAAAGCTTCCTTTAAACCTAAAAAAGCTTATATAAGCACTTTTTGGAAGCTTGTAAAAAAACCTTTTGTAAGCCTTTAGAAACGTTTTTATT